TCGGGTGTCAGCGCCGCAGGCCTAGGTAGATGTATGCCAGGCGCGTCGCAGCGTAACAGTGTTTCGTGAGATATCGCGAAGCCTGTTACTCGAGACGTGGTCTGGCGTACATCTACCTAGTATTATTACAGGATAAACAATGGTTGCGAGTCAGCCAATGCTATGCCATCTAGGTGCCCCATTCCAAATTAATTTGAGATAGCAAATGTCCTTTCTGCTGCTACCTATGAAGTATAGTACATAAAATAAAAATATTACATTAGTAATTTAACAAAACTGAATTTAAGAAATTTTAGTCAGTTGTAAAATAAAACAATTTAAAATGGTTTTACATAGTATACTACTAAAACCCCTGTGTCATTTTATAGTCCTTGTGGTTCTAATTCAGGAAAACATTCGAGCAGATTTTTAAACCATAATTTGTCAAAGAAATCTTGCGCGCAAGCTTCTAAAATAGACAAGAGTGATTCTCAAAAAAACTGTCCGATTCCGAAACAGCGTTTTTGAGAGCCGACGACGCGAGCGACGACGGCCAAACTCGCGGTAACGGCATACCAGGCTTTTAAGAGGTGACGGGGCGGACATAAAAGTAGGATTGGAGGTGAGGCGGCGGACAAAACTTGAAATCAGAGACATGGCGGTGACAAGGCGTACACAAAGTTGGTTGGGGGGTGACGGGGCGACCGAAACTTGACATCGATGGCGGTGCGGACATAAGGATGGTTTGGGCGTGACAGGGCGGACGAAACATGACATCGGTGACAGGGCGGACATAAGGGTGAATTGGGGGGTGACGGGGCGGACATACGGATGATTAGGGGGTGACGGAGCGGACCGACATCGTTGGTCATTCCCTCTGTATCCTCAACCATTATAAACTCCTACGTTATATCAGCTCCGTCACCTCCCATTCTACTTCCATGTCCACTCCCCCCCCCCCTTGATAACCGCTGTCAAGTTTCGTCCGCCCCGTCACCCCCTAACCATCTTTATGTCGGCCCCGTCACCGATGTCAAGTTTCGTCCGCCCCGTCACCCCCTAGCCATCCTATGTCTGCCCCGTCACCGATGACAAGTTTCATCCGCCCTGTCACCCCCTTGCCATTCATATTTCTGCCCCGTCAAGTTTCGTCTGCCTCATGACCCCCCATTTTTCCTTATCCCCCCCCCCCCACCCCCCGTCACCTCCTTACTATCCTTATGTCGGCCGCGTCTCCTTCACCATGTATTGTCCGCCCCGTCCCCACCAGGCAGCCTCCGCTATTATGAGCTACATTTTTAAAGTATAAGTATCTAATATAATCTATAAAATAACTTAGCTTGGAATGTTGTAGTGGTACAACTCGACTTACTTTGAGTTGATGAGGGTTTAGACTGTCCATTTTGACGATAACCTTTTATTAATTTCTGTAAGCACACTTTTAGCTCGCCGCTCTGCTTTGAAAAAGCTATCCAGCGAGCTCATGCAAACGACCTCGTGTCTGTCCGTCCGTCTGTCTGTGTGTCCGTCTGTACTACTAGAAGGAGGTGTGCTAGAGACGCGAAAATTCCAGTTTGTCTTAAGGTCCACTCCTAGAGAACGAAACGCCTACGGCAAATCCTGGCAACCACCCCTAAGGGTGTGAATGAGGTTATCCAAGGTTCAAATATTCGCCCAAAACTTTACTTTTTTATGTTCTTCAAAGGGGTAACTTGTCTATGTAGATGTAGAGGCCTTCAGGCAAAAATTTCGTCCGTTTGGCTCTATCTCAAACCGTTTAGGTCCTTGAGGGTCTATTTTAGACGAAAATAAGCTAAAAATTGCTGTAGTGAAACAAATTGTTGAATAAGAAGGTCTAACAAGCAGGCCCACCCTACCGCCAAACGAAGTTGCCAGCTCCGCTTCGCTACGCCGGCAACTCCGCTCGGCAGAGGCCGGGCCTGCTTGGCATACCGGTGGCGATGGTCCATTTCGGTCACGCGATTTGCTGATAAACATCCCGGGTAAAAATCTTTAGCGACTTTTCGTGTTTTTCTTGTAGTAGAAGAGCACGTAGCTGTCTGGGTAATGGAGCCGGATTTAACACCCATGGC